AATGTATACTTACATTCAAACCTGTTGCTGTGGCATATGCTCTTCTCGAGGCTAGAACCCGAAATACCTTTTCCAAAGGAATAAGGAATGAAGGAAGACACACACCAACATGAGATGTACAGTGTACCATACAAAATCCATGAACAATGTGCTGATTATTTTCTTCCCCCATTACTGGGTAATGAATTGCTGTGATACATGTATAGGAAAAAGTAACAGCTTGAACCAGAGTTCAGTTCTTGAATCTAGCTTTACAAAAATGTTGCAAGCTATTAAATGATGATCAGGATGACCTTTAGTTCAGTGCTAGCTGCATCCTTTGGGTTTTACGTTCATGTAAAATCCCCAGGTGCAAGAATGTCATGATTTATTTTTACGGGAAGAGAAATCAACCACTTTCACTGAAAAAACAAAATTATAATTCCATCAGACGCCTCCTTTCCATCACAAAACCTTGCTGGCGTTCAGTGTACGGCCTGAACAATAAGCAAAACTGAGTTGATGAAGGGTAGATAGGCATATGTGGGTTTTGTCCCAGTGTGAAGGGACTTCTCTGAGTTTCAGGCTGTTCTCCAACTCCCAATTCAAGTTGAGCATAAGACTTATCGCAAATACATGTACTGCATGGGTGGATTTTGCACAATGGTAGAAAGGCATTGTGGGAAGGAAAAAGGGGCAATGTTTGCTCCTTTTTCCTTCCCACAATGCTTTTCTACCATTGTGTACAATCATCCATGCAGTACTTGTGATAAAGCTTATGCTGCAGGCTCTAGTTGTACTGACCACTTCACTGATGTGCAAACCATGTATGTAAGTGAACAAATATCAACATATAGCTACTGTTGCACTATTAAAAGCGTTCTCCACTTACAGAAAAAGATTTAACTGACTTGAAAAAAGTAGGGTTCATTTTGCTAACGTTGTAACTTGTACTTGTGCTGTGTCTTGCTTCTACTTATGCTACGTACTGTACATTGGCCTATATCATGTGCATGTACAATGTACATACACAGCTAGATATATATGAGCATATGGAAGGACGCCACCAAGAGTTGAGCAACAGATTGACGAAATGGGATTGGAAATCAGCAATTTCTCTGATCAAAGTACAATGTAGGCCGAGTCTCTAGAATTTCTAACAAGAGTGTTGTATCTACCACCTTTTTGTCTCATATAATGGCATCCATTAGCAAGGATGGGGAAAGGAAACCGATCGTATCATGTGAGTGTTCCCGTCCTGGTTAGCTCTGCGTGCATTCCTCAGATTGTTCATGATCTTGATCATTGTGCACTACACTAGCTGCATCAAGTTCGTGATAAACTTTGACTAACACTTCATGTTTTGGCATATCTCTGTTTTAAATTGCGTTTTGGTCATGTCATGTTGGTAAGCTATAGAGTTCTGTGTACGGATATCAATAATTTTCCTATGCTGTAATTAGCCATCAGAAAAAAAGTGATAGGTTTAGCCTCCTAACAATTTTGTAAAACGTAGAATTTAGCAGGGAAAAATGGAAAATATTGTGGTATAGTAATTCCGCAACCTGTTGTCATGATTGTCAAGTCTGATTGTTTTTCACAGTAAGTGGTGAAATAAGGCACCTGATGACTAACCTGATGACAGATGTAGAGGTACACATGCTTCACAACTCGGAGACTGTCCTTAACATTGGAGAAGTCCCTTTATTTGGAGACAAAACCAGGCCCCTAAAGTAAAACTTAGAAAGACTGTCTGTAAGAGGGAACATTTTTCCCAAGTGGGCTTGGATAAAAACATCCACATGTTATTATCAATTTTTTCCCCATAGGGCCCATTTTTTTTCATAAGTTATTTTTTTAAACTTTGTACCATATCACTCAATTTATTTGTAAAAGGATTGGTATTCAGAAAAACTGTTTTGATGCAGTCTTTTTCCTACCCTTTGTGTCCCATTGCAGACTTCTGCTTGTAATCCTAGAAGTAAACGGTATAAAATGTTGTAAAACGGCAGCCTTGGGTGTTTTCTTCTTTTGAATCCAATTATGGCATTAAAAGGATCCCTAGGGTAATTATAGGATCACCAAGCCCTCATGAAAGATATATCCTTGTCATGGGGGACATTCTCTCTTTTGGGGGACATATTTTGTCCCCGAATAAGAGACTTCTCAGAGTTTAGACACTGTCTCCATGTTGTGGTGTGTACTGTACACCTACTGTTACACTGTAGAATAACTTTCAGACTGATACATGTATCTACATTGTACATAGGCCTACATGTACATGTACATAGCGCTGGTGCACAGGGTGTCAAATGATGTCTAGATATAGAATTCTTTCCTATCAGATGTCTTAGCATATGAGCGTACATGTAAATCTCATGATGTTAAATATTTACCGTGTTAGGCATGTAAGGACGTGGATATTAAACTACATGTACATGTACAGTGTATGGACCAGACTGGATGATTTTGTTGCTTTTGTGCCAGTCAGTAGACCTACGGCAACGTAAAATGAATAATGCATGTTTTGGGGGACTTACATGTACATGTACACATGTACGCACACAAATGAAGAGTGAGTTTAATACTTACTACATGTAGTTACCTGGTAATCGTTTCAATCATGCCATTGCCAACTGTATTTAGAAAAAAGTGAAAGAATGGAAGTTGGAGGGAGAACTATTCCTAGAGAGTAACCAATGCATTGACCTCCATCATGCAGGCAGTAATGAATGAAAAGACTGTAGATCAGTATTTTAGAGAGAGCTTGATTCTTATTCATCGGAAAGAGGAAATGATGGGATATAGGGTCACAAGGGCTACAGTATGTGTAATAAATTACATGTACAATTACAATATGTGTTTATTTAATTAGGTTATTTGCGACTGGCATGACTGGATGACGCCAAAATATACACTTTGTTTAACTTAATGTTAGAATTCAGGTTTTCTTTTTTATATATATATTTTTATATTAAGAATTGTTTGTCTGTTTTTGTGATTTTTGTCCCTCAGATCATGGAGACCAGGAACTCTTCTCTTCTATTCGAGTGGAGCTCTTGAACACACTACCCAGAGACCCAGTAGAATGGCGAAGGTGGGTACTAAAATTTCCAGATTGCAAGATTTCTTGGACATGTTGAGTGTCTCTTTGCTGATTCATTGTGACCAGCATTCTTTAGTAGTTGCTCACTCTGTTATCTCTCTCCCACTTTACGCTTGTAGGCAAGAGTGCTATCAGGGAATCCTTAGTTTTATGCCCAATAGGCCTGCATACTTACAGTTGATGCCACACTTTGTTTACATGTGCACTTCCTTATGGAGCCACTGGAGGTCCACGGTCCCCTGAGCACCATTGAAAACCACACATGTATTACATGGTGTGGCATCATCGTACAGAGATCTATCTCTTGATGAAAAAAATGATATCCAAGGAGACAGCATTACCATGGTGGGACCACACGCACAGCCACACATTCTTGACTTGAGATGTGCAAATACCAAATATGTATTTTTGCTATTCATGACACATCCTGGTTGAACCAGCATTTAAGATGTTTGTGTGAGCTGCATGGAGCTTGGCACCATCCCAGTCATCAGATAAGTCTTTTACTTCTCTTAGAGTTTTACCAATGACAGTGCTGCTTTCTTTTTGTAGTAGAAAGAGTTGCTGATGAGCTGTTTTATCAAAGTTTACCATGAAAGCCCTTTACAGCAAATGTTTACTGTTGATTTCTCTGAACATTGATAAAGGTACACGAGTAATTCCAGAAATTAGGGGTCCTTTTTTTTCTCGTGTCCCTGATACATCTGACATTGAATTTGTAAGTTCAGAACACATCTTTTAATTTCCAAGAGTGATGAATTAATGCAAATTACCTGCCAAACAAATAGTGATAGTTTCAAATCCATTCTGGTGATATTTCCATGTCAAATAACAAAGGTCAGATGTAACAGGGACACAAACATGTCACACTTTTGGACCCCTAATTTCTGGAATTACCCACATGTAAGTCGCTTATGTTGTCTTGTGGCTTTTCAACCAGGTCTTACGGCCGGGTTCCGAAGATGATCTTTGTGGATGTTGCATTCGTGCCCTTCAACCATGAGCAACTGGCCAAGGAAAACGAGCGTACTCTCTTCAGAAAGCCCTGCTTTCATATCTATTTCACAGACTGTGCAGTGAGTATAAATGGAGTTTGTTTTTTTGACACATAACTGGTACAAAAGCAAAACAACTTGACGATAGTCCTGTTTTTTGCAAAGATGTAAAATTGTATGATCTTGATGTGGGGACATGTAGCCTATAGTGGTGAAGTTTTGTGAAACTCCCAGTGATAGGGTCAATGAGTCCAAATCCAACTTGGGTGACATGCTGTGACCTTGGGCAAGTCACTATACCCTTATTGTACTCTCTCCTCCCAGGGGTGTAAATGGGTACCTGTGATGGCAGAGAGGGTTGTTCTGTTTGATTTGTCTTTCACACCTAAAATGGTAGCATTAGGCTGTATTCTATCCAAGGAGCTGAGATGTTGTTTAGGAATATTTATGGGCCTCATGATCAGGGATGATACTAATGCATGTTCCCTTAAGAGCACCCTATTATGATCATTGATGACTACGGAAACTCACATGAAACAGCCCATACATGTAGGTGAGT